GTGCCGGTGGCGGTGTCCCTGTGCCGGTGACAGCCCGGTGACACCGCGGGGCTCCCGCAGGTGGTGCCGGTGGCGGTGTCCCTGTGCCGGTGACACCCCGGTGACACCGCGGGGCTCCCGCAGGTGGCGGTGTCCCTGCGCCGGTGACACCCCGGTGACACCGCGGGGCTCCCGCAGGTGGTGCCGGTGGCGGCGCGGCTGCTGCTGGAGATGTTCTCCGGGGAGCTGTCCTGGTCGGCAGACAGCATCCCGCTGCAGATCTCGCACCCCGACCTCAAGGACAGGATGGTGGAGCAGTTCAAGGAGCTGCACCAGCTCTGGCAGAGCCACCAGCGGCTGCCACCGGCACAGCCCCCGCCCGGCCCCTCCGCGGGACCCTGGGCACTGCCACCCGGCCCCCTGCCCCACTGACAGGACATGGGGACACCCAGGGCACCGCCAGCCACGGTGAGTCACTCACTCGGCAGCCATCGGGGCTGGAGGAGCCAGGGGCCACCCAGCACCACCCCTATCCGTCCCCATCCCTGTCCCCATCCTCATCCCTGCCCCTGTCCCTATCCCTGCCCCTGTCCCCATTCCTATCCCTGTCCCCATCCCTGTCCCCGTCCCTGTCCCCACCCCTGTCCCTATTCCTATCTCTGTTCCTATCCCTGTTCCCGTCCCTGTTTCCATTCTTATCCCTGTCCCCGTCCCTGTCCCCATCCTCATCCCTGTCCCTGTCCCCATCCCCATCCCTGTCCCTGTCCCCATCCCTGTCCCTATTCCTGTCCCTGTCCCCGTCCCTGTTTCCATCCCTGTCCCTGTCCCCATCCTCATCCCCATCCCTGTCCCCGTCCCTGTTTCCGTCCCCATCCCTGTCCCCATCCCCGTCCCCCGGAGCTGCCACTGGCCATCACCCAGGGCTGCTCTGAAGGGGAAGGGGACTGTGCCCACCGAGCCTGGGGTGCCTCTTCCCGGGCCAGATCGGAGCAGCCACATCCCCCTCCTGGGATTCCCCAAGGATAATCCACCCGGGAGTTTGGGGGAAAACAGCAGGAAAACGGGCCGGTGCCACCTTGGACCTGGAGCCCCCAGTGCTGGGGGGACAGAAAGCAGGCCCAGCCCTGAGAGAAAAAACAGAGGGGCCTCGGGAGGTTAGTTTATTTTTTCAGTTTTTTGTTGTTTTTTATTGTTCTCGAGATGGCTACACACCCCCGGAGGGAACCGCATGCGCCCGCCCGCCCTGCCCGCGCTCGAGCCACTGCCTCCAACCCCAAAATCAAACCAAAGAAAACCCCAAAAAAGGGGGAAAAAAAAAAGAAAAAAAACACAAACAAACAAACAAACAGAAAAAAAAACCAAACTAAAAAAGCAGAACAAAATAAAATATAAATCTCTATTTGCAGAGTCTGTCCCGCCTGCGTCGTCTCTGGGAGTCGGCACCAGGCAGGCCACGGTGGGCTCGGGGGGCGCAGCGCCCCAGGACCCCCAGACTGACCCCCCATCTTCCTAAGCAATTTGTACTGTTTGGTTTTTGTTTGTTTCTTTTCCTTCTTTTTCTTCTTTTTTGTCTCCACTTGACCGAGTTTTTCTGCTTCTTTGCTGCCGGGCGGATCCGAGTGGCTCGGTGCGGCGCCGCTGCCGCTGGGGCTGGAGTTGGGTTTGTGGGGTTTCCCCTCGGGCTGGTTCTCGTGGCCGAGATCCGGGACGCGAATCCCCGGGCAGGCGGGGTCCCCGAGCCTCCTCCCGCGGCTCCGGCCTCCGGGACACGCTGCAGCGGCCGAGAGCCCTCGGCTGATTGTGGGACACATTCTTGGGTTGCTGTTTCCTGTCTTCTCCTTCAAGACATTCCTGGGAGCAGCAGGGGAGGGTCAGCCCCTTGTCCCCGCTGTCCTGTGGGGTGAGGGACCCAAAACCTGCCCTTACCTGGGAGACAGGTGCCACGTGGAGCCGGAGCTATCGGAACAGGCGGGTGAAGTCCCTCAGAGCCCAGCAGAC